CCCACTCTGGAAATAACTGACAGGTATGACCTCAATTAATTTCAGAGTGTATCGCAAACCACTGTAGACCAGGTCAGCACAGTGATTTACAATTTGTTTCCGGGTTTTGTAGCCATGACTACGGCTGGTGTTACCGCGCAACTAACCCGAATGCTCCTAGTGATGAACACTATTCTTTTTTTCCTGGCAAGTTTAATAAAATATTGTCCACCCTCTCATAGTATGGAGCTATCTCAATGAAACGTCTAAACGTATGTGGTTGGAACTGTACCTCAGCGGACAAAATGCATTTCTCCCACGAGTTCGAAAATGTTTTGCTACTTCAAGTAAACCCTTGAATTACGGTTGACAATTTCACTCACCTGCCTTGTTGAAAGGTTATTAGACAGTCTTCGCTCTGAAGGCTGCACATTCCTAGCGTAGTTTAAAAAATCCTCCAACCGTAGCACCCTTTCGGTGCCTAGCCACCAGGCCACCCGCAGGAATCACGAGGGTCGAGATGCTGCCAGGTTGCCCAGACCTAGAAAGGAGTGGCCGGGAAACAGAAGTCGAGTTCAATCCACGGACTTTCTCCCAACAACTGAGCAATTCCTAGCTCATGGCTTGTTCCAGGCTACACCTGGGAAGTTCCAGCGATCTCCTTCCAGGGCAACACCAGAACCGCACTATTCCACCTAAAAAGCAGTTGGTTTGGTCCAGATTTATCACAAAGATATTCTCCACACAACAGATTGATCAGAAAGTCCTTCTTTTGTCCTTAGATGAACTCCCTGGACAAAAGTTGATGCATTTTTTCGTTTCATTAAATAAAATGCAATCGCCTAACGAACAAAGGATTATTCCTACTTTTTATTCTCCAGCCCTGATCACCTCTGAGACCCTGTGTGGCCTCCTACACTTGGTTCTGGATCTTGGAAACTTCTTAAATGAAGTAAGTCACAAGAACCTTGGGCACGATACCAACTGCATGAGTTCTATTGACAAATGTACTGCCTAAGAATGATCAGTGAAGTTGAATGACATCCCAATCAATATTTGATTTGTTGTGATCGCTCAGTTAGCCATCATCAGTAGCCTTCATCCCTTGTGAAGACTTTTTTTGAAACTGAAGGTCACTGTGTTCTCTGAAGTACGTGGAAATCCCCGAAAATAATACGCATGTTGGTCTCAGCTCTGGATGTTTCAAGAACTGCCGTCAGAGCACAATTTCTAGCAGACACGTTTTTTACCGATGCCTGTTCGTCTTTGATGATTCCGCCCATGTGACAATGTTTTGTGAGTCAAAACACATTTGGTTATAAGTGGAACATATGGTTGACGGAAACTCGGGGGCTACGCCTACTAGATGAGCCCCAAGAAGGATGAAACCGGTCGTGGGCTGTCGAGGAAATTTTCAGCAACCTTATGAGTAGTGCATTACGAATATACATCTCGAATATCGTAGCGACTGAAACGTGAAGCGGCCTGGTGCAGCACGTTCAGTTACCTGGAAGCATTACAAACGAGAGACTCAGCTGGGTTCCACGTGGGTCTCTGGTGAAACCGAATTTTTTTGGAAATGAGTGTATTTCGCAAATTAAACGAAGTTTGAGGGAATGGAGAAGGCTCTTCCAAACAGATTTTACAGTACGCCCAGCTTACCGTATGCCGCTCGCCTCCTCCTACTGAGACCTTTCCGTTGCTACGGACGAAATTCTGTTGTACGTGTGGTTCTGAACACAATAAACCATGCAGTGAAAAAAACGGGCTTCCTTCAATGAGATTTAACTAAGATGATCCTGTCAATTTTATACGGCAGAGTTCCAGTGGACTTTCCTCAACTTCCACGAGAGTTTGGCATCAGTCGTCAAAAGTGTATGAGAACAGGTGGCGTTGGGAGTACATAGATTACATCGAGTACGCAGACGACATAGCTCCTCTGGAATCTGACCCCGTGGTAATGCAAACAATATTAAATTATCTAGATAATTCTGCCTCGCGGTTTGGCATACACTTCACACCTGTAAAGTGTAAAGTGCTACTGCAAGACTGGGTGGGCTCGAACCCTAGCCTCATGCTTGCGGATGAACCGATTGAGGTAGTAGGCAAATTCGTTAACCTGAGCAGCTGTATCAGTTCCGGTGGTCTCGCGAAAGATGATATTTCCATCCGTATTGGGAAGGCCAGAGCAGCTTTTGCGACGTCACCATCGATGTCTTCGGATCATTGGCCGAATCTGGTGGGAACACCGGGTCAGCAATTCTGAAGTACGTGGAATGGTATTCGGGAGAAATAACTCACCCTTGATAGATGAACTGATCGCACTGCATAGGTTGCGCTTGTTTGGCCACGTGCTGCGTATGCCAGTCGACCGACTTCCTCGAAGGGCTCTTTTCGCACAACCACTTGAAACGTGGGAGAGAGCCAGAGGAGGTCAAACAATGACTTGACAGCGAAGTGTGAAGGCCATTACCAGCAAACTCAGCTGCGCTGATCGTTGCCGTCTTCCTGGATATGGTCCCTGAGACGAGCCATATCAATGGTTAGATACATTGTCGGACATGGCCCAGTCACGCCCTCAATGGCACTCGTGCATCCAAGCTATTACCTTCAATGCACAATTCCTGTCCCAATCCCCCCACTTGACAGCCCACTGACAGTGCTGGATTTATGCACCAATTTATCAGCGCCTGCCCCCAATGCGCAGCTAGCTACCTCCCCCACAAATCACCGGTGAACGAAACTGCGGCAGCTCCAACCACTGTACGGCGAGTACGCGGTTATTACAGCTGACAATGATGATGATGAATTTGGGAGTCTATGTATGCCATACAGGGCAAATGTTTCAAACAGCTGATCTATGCAACTTTTACATTGGGTTGCTGCAGAACGTGGCTGCCACATGCAGCCGGCTCACAAACCTACACAGCGCTGTTCATCTTGAGAACGTTTGTTTATGGTAATTAAAAACGACATACTGCGTATTAAAAACATGCTTACGTCGTCCTGTCTTGTACCGAAGGTTGGAAGGAAGTTACGGAACTGCAAAGATGTAAAATGAAACCCTGATCGCAAAGTGTTTAAAAATCATCTGAACGCCAGACTGTATTTTGTGGTCTTTTACGGGGATATTCTAGGCAGGTATCCATTTTTGGTGTAACAAGCGATTTATTTGCTCGACATTGTCGGGGAATTTTTCAACCAGGCGGTTCACTCGGGAAACATGAGGCAGATAGCTGACCGCCATTTTTAAAAGCAGAGAATCAATCTGAAAAAGAAATGAGAGGGTTAGGTAAACGGGATAACGACATTAGGGAGATAAATTGTGCGTCGGAAACGCCTTTGAAGCAACGAAATAAGAGACCACAGCGTTTTATAGGTAAACATGAGTGCATACGAACCAACAAATGGTGTTTCGATAGACATCTGGCAGTTTTAGACTGTACAGTGTACAACAATCACTCAAGGCATATCTTAAAGACTGTACAGGAGTTAAAGTGTTTCATCGTGTGGAATTCACCAGGGGGGTGAACAGAAGGAGATAAAGTCCAAGTTCCCATTTTACATTAAAATAATTCTTTTTTGGTAACTCCCTTAGAACATCAGATAAACGATATAAAATCACTGACAGAGCAATAGCAAGTGTGGTTGTTCAGAGCCCTGGATGAGTGACATTTTGACGGGCTTGGAAAAAATTTATCATGGTGCACACTTCATGTTAGGTCAGGTGAGTGTGAGATCGGATTGTTTTTCGCACCTCTCTTGTGTTAGAGAACGATAGATGAGAGATTGAGCAGCATATCACCTTGGGCGATTGTCACACCTCCCAAGAGTTTGGCAAGCTCTTCGTCGTTGCGGATGGCCAGTTGCAAGCGACGGGGAATGGTGATGATGTGGACCTTCTTGTTGTCACGAGCAGCATTGCCAGCCAATTCCAGGACCTCAGCAGTGAGGTATTCCAGAACCGAGGCCAAGTACACTGGTGCACCTACACCGACGCGCTCAACATAGTTGCCCTTGCACAGCACACGATGCACACAACCAATGGGGAATGGGAGACCTCGCACGTGACGACCTGATCCTCGCCTCGACCCGAGTCTTACCGCCCTTGCCGCGACCAGTAATGGCTTTTAGAAACGTTGAAAGGATAGGCAACGTGGACTCAACACGTTGGAAATATGCCAGACGTTTTTTTGTGGCATTAATTCCATGTTCAATGGGATCAAGTACACAATTTTGCCAGGTATTCTTATTGGCTGTCAGTCACCATCAGTGCTGCTGAGACACTGGGGCTTACTGATAGTGATCTAGGTGGAGGGGCGAGATGGAGACAAGCGACTTCACATGAGATAAACTTGCATGTTCTTATGGCAAAGCGGTCCACTTATCGACACATGTTGCACACTGATGATGTAAGATCAACCCCAGGCCACCTCGCGCCAGTAAAACTGCAATCTCAGAATTCAAAAGAACAGAACAGTGAGACCAACTGAGACAAGAGCTGCTGAGTAAAACAGCAAATAGCTTCGGGTTCACGGGTAGGTATCCTAGACATTAATCTGTCTGCTTCTAGACCCAGTAAGGAATGGATTGGCACAGCAGTCATTCCATATGAAGTAGGAACATCGGAGGTCATTCGAAGACTGTTGAACTTAGCCAACAGGTAGAAAGGACTAGGGACTGCGTGTATAAAATTAACTGCAACGATTGTGCTAAGGTTTATATGGGACAAACTGCCAGGGAATTTCACACCAGAATTGGTGAGCATAAACGAAGGATTACCAAACCACCAAGGAACGCAAAAGAATACCAAACGCTGGTCAAAGACTCAGCGATAGCGATGCATGCCTTAGACAGGGGAGAATGTGGAAGTTTTAAGACGGGGACTGCGATTCACACCACAGCGGCTGATAGCCGAGGTGGTGGAAATTACTAAGCATCACAGCGTGAATAGAATCGGTGGTGTGGAGCTGGCTAGCGTATGGAAAGCGGTCTTAGATAAGCCAAGTTGACAGGTGACGATGTGGTTGTCAATCCACGTAGGATCATTAGGAAAAACCCTGGGATGGGAGTGGGAACCCCAACCTGACCAAAGGTCACAGCATCCCTCCTACACAACTATCTTAGCACTAACTCACCCACACAGACTGACAGGAGGTTCAAACAAAGTTCAAGAGGAAGCATCAAATGAACCGAATCAGAAGAACTAGACCCCCGGCTGGGCCCGAACATATGTAGATTTCCCCACCGACTCAACACTTGTTCAGCCACTCTAACATACTAAAATCCCTCGGCCGACACCCAACAGAGCTTTAGCTTGACTCAGCCGATTGGTCCCCCTTCCGCCTTAAATCCCCACCAACCTCGGAACCTAGTCACTTGGCCTGACGAAGCTTCTAACTGAGCTGCACTCTTATAAACACAGTGAAAATATTGAACAAACCTCGATAGAGACGTCCTCGATTCGTTTCAGGTTTCAAACGTACGTGACGCTACCCCCACTGAAAAGCCCCCCTAGGCGGGTAAATTGATGGACACAACCGGGACAGCTACCGAATTGTCATTCGAGGGATTGGGAACACCAATCAAATTGCTCCTAAGTAGACACTTTCATATACCTCATTAGGAGCAAAACTGAAGTCCAGTCTTTGATTTTGATTTAACCAGAACAATATGGACATGAAAACCCGCAGTTATCATCACGTGGTCGATTAGAAAGGCGTTCGTTTTCTACAAACTTCCAAACACAACCTGTTGCAAAAATTTAACTCAACTGAATATCTCGTTTATGATACTCTCCAACTGAATGTGCTGCACACAGGCCAGCTCATGTTTCAGTTGGCACGATATTCGAGATATTGCAGCATATTTTCATAAAAAGAACTACTCACAAGATTGATGAGAACTCTCCGACAGCCCACGACCTTCGCTTATTGTTCATCTGTCTCGCGTTACAGACTCAACAATCGTTAGGGATTTAGGGTAAGGCTGGGGTGAGGAAAATTCCATTGAAAGTTCTTTTTCTTCGATAACTTCTCAAGCAATTCAGACTCATAAATCCTGGTATACTGATGTCTCGATCCATCACAATATTAGGCACATACATTGGTATGTATGTGGACTTTGGATTTCTTGAAGATGGTATCGTCGAGGTACTACTACCTTCTACCGGAACAACTTGTTCAATTGGCCCAACAAAGTTGCCATTCCCAACCAGACATTTCCTGTTTGAATTTGACTGACTTGAGCACTTTTTTAATTTTTTGCCCAACCGGAAGGATTATGGGCTACATTTTAGCACCTGTCTAGGAACGTCATCATAATCACGGTAAATCTAACTTTTTTTTCTACGAAGAGTGAAGTTTTCTATTGATTAATTTTTCAGAGAGGGGGTCCAACAACAAAATTGGCGTCTATTTCTAAAGGTTACCTACAGCAAACATGACAAACAATAGAGCAATATATTTCAGTACACTATAGTTCTGATGGAGGCAACCATTCCTCGAAAGCTGCTTTCAGTTTTACGCAGAACTCCATCAAAAGAGCTCTTTCCCATAGAAACGACATACCACTCGTTTGCCCTGTCATTTGGAAGTCAATTGTGATAACTGAGAATAGTACTAATGGGTGGATCACAGTAAACTTAATGAAAGATGCCAAACTGTAAACAAACGGTATGTGGATAATAGTGGGAAATTGTTTCAGCACTGGCGTGTCCCTCATCAATCTATCAATCAAACTTTAGTAAGATGGAGAACAAACACAGAAAAAGTGTACTTTTGACTGACTTGATTTTGGCAGAAATGATACTATAAACCAAACACAGGGATTCATCCTTTGTTATGGAAACAAGGAAAGTAAATAAGTTGGCAGTAAAGTCATTTATAGTCTTTGTTTAAATGAACTGACTTCCAGGATTAATAGACGACACCGATGAGGGTGTAGAATACTTTGACGTATTCGGGAAGGCTCACTTGAGTAACGTGCCAAATCACAAGCCAATAATTTGTGGATTCTTGAGATTTGTCAATAAAATGCAGTACTGCGTGTATAAAAGGAGTAATAAAAAGTGGTAAACACCTGTAAACTGTTGCACGAAGTAGTGCAAGTCCATAGAAAGCTCGTAGAAGACGGCAAATCAATCGTGACAGGCGCATGCTTACAACACGCAGTAATGCAAAATTGTCAGAAAGCGCGCGTAAAGGATGCTGGACTAAATTGGTTCGACATGTCAAGAGTTAAAATTCCATCAGGGCTTATAAGTGCTCAGACAAGGGAAGGGTTTGACCGAGAAAAAATATAGAGTGGTGTACTTTCGGAACAAGTAGCTTTCCTTTTTTCAAAAAGATGGTAGTGAACTACTTTCTCATAGAAAACAATCGAAGCTCCCCGACGCTTAGATTTCACAGTTATTTTTCTCCAGATACAGCCACGAAACAAGCAGGTGTTTCCCCAGTAGAGGTCGGCAGTTTCATCCGAACAATCGAGAACCACTGAAAGAAATTTTGTTTAGGCGCCTTCGGTTGTTCACGTGCACTGAGCAGACCTTTGTATTCGTACTGAGTCGTTCCCAGTAGCCTGCTGAAATTTATACATTTTAATTTTTTATACCTCAGGGTAAAAGTTTCGGCGCTGCAACCGCTTTCAAAATAGAGAGTCTGCTCAAACTCTCAGACGTCCGTTCAGTCAATCCAAAATTCACTCTGCTGCATTTTCTTGTTCAGGTATGCAAACAAGCTTAGCATTACTTCCCCCATTGCATTACTGCCAATATCACCATAACTTCAGTTTTTTACCTAAATCCCAATTCGAGGTGTTCGATTTGATTTTTGGTGATCGAATTTTACAACATTCATTCAAATACATTTATGCCTTCCTACGGCTATTTTCAAGTTTCTAAACTAGTTGCTACTTCCGACCAATAGTTAACCACTTGAATGTCCGGCCAAGAGTGATTGGTCAACAGTGTGGTCGGCACGCTTACACAGGGTATAGGATCATTCATCCTTCAATCACGTGATCAATCGTTGATTGGCTCCTGAGAGAGGACTTCTAAGACGGAAGGTGTGACTTGTTCCTACTTCTAGGCTACCCACAGTTTGTTCATTGTATGTGACTAGGAAAGTAGCCGGGCAAAGTCCCGATGGCGTTACTGGGGTACTAATTTATATCTTCGTTTGTTTAGCTGGAGTTAGTTTGAATTTCAGCGAACTTCATGACGTCTTTTGAAAATGCCCTCAATATTCGTTGGTGTTCAGACGAAGTGTATATTTTGGTTGAATGAGCAGATTTTAGTGAGTCGCTTGGCGACTTCAGATACGTTGAATTTTCTCCAATTTACTCCGTGAGAAAATGATTAGAATCAGCAATGATCTATCTTAAAAAGCGCGAAAAAGTTAACACACGGTCTGATTGGTGGCTTGATTATGTCCATGTGATGACACACATCCTTTTTTTCACTATGCGGGAGCATAGCTTGCAGATTCCGCCGACACGGAAAGCCCGGCATTTTCCTGAGAGAGGTCTCCCTCTCAGGCACTCAGTCATGCTGAACAACAATAAGATCGAATTTTTTCTAGTCGTAGTGTTTTTCATGACAAAGAGCGATTAAGTGGCAACCTTTTTCGGAATAATATGTGGCTTTTTGAGCAACTTATTGATTTGCTCATAGCTGGACGCGCCACCAGATCGACCGATCCGCCTTTCCTAAATGTTCGCCTATGAAAACTCGATAAATAACCTATAAACTGAACAAACTCCTTTGCAGCTTGCAAAATGCACGCTGACTTCTCCACACAAACGGTTCCGTTGTCCATGCGCTGCCTTGAGATAGACCGAATGGTTGAACCTAACTGATCAGAAAGCGAGCATGGACGACCAATCACGGTAAACTCAGATGGCCGTGAAACGGCGAAAGGTTTCTAATAGATCTTGTGGGTTAAGTAAGCTTGCATTAAACCCCTTCGGAAATAATAAGTCCAAAACGAGGAACCCCTGTAGGTCGGAAGGGGACTGATCGACTTATTAGCACGTGATCAAATAGGGAGGCAGCCTTTTAGGAGAGTGGCTTATATATCAGGAACAGCCGGTCGCGAATTCGTTAGCTAGGGCGGACAGGTGTTCAGCTACCACTGTAACTTAGATCCGTAACTTTGATCACATAGCAAGTTTTCGCTGTGGTGTAAGAAACAATAGCAAAAACGAATATACGGTTTCCAAAGGATATATTGGTTTGAGCTGTGACAGCACGAAGTCATTGAAAACCTTTTCTTATGAAATATCGTCCCATAGACAGTGTGACCAATCTTTCTTAACCATCTATAATATTAGGAGAACCAGCTCCGAACGTAACGGGGCTACATGACAGCCAACGGAATAACCGTTTTTCGTTGAGACAGATTTCATTGGTTGTTCTCCACTCGCCCTTGAGTTGTAGTCTTAGTACCATTTTCTGACCGCTTGTACGCGACAATGATCAATAGAGCATCTGGCTCGCATGTTTACCTATTTTTCTGGTTTTACAAAGCGCACCAGGCGATCAGGCGGCTATCCAGACCAGGGTTCACGGTAATAAGAAGGCATTAAGGAGACTGCGGTCCACACCTACAGTAAAAACTTCCTCGTTTGTACGCCTATAGATTATTTTCAATTCAAGTACACTCAGCCATATTTTATGCAATCTGTGTTTCAGGTTGTTCAACAACATTATCCACACTATTTGAGTGTGCGAGATGAATTTCCTCACCTTAAAGAGTCTTGCGGGTAAGCGCTATCTGTTATCTTTCCTCTTGTCTCGTTCTTGTTTAACCCTATAGCCCAGTCAAACAAAATTTGGATTAGTCGACTATGAACCATTCCAGCATCTTTGAGATCTGAAAGATCAAATCAAAGGATGATATTTCAGTGAGCACATCATTACTTCGCGTCACCTCTTGTATATCAACAGAAATGATGATATTAGAATGTCTTGCATAGCTGCGCTGAGGAAAGTGCCAATATAAGTGCGCTTATAACGCACTTCATTTTAAGTGGATTGTGAAAAGATGTCCAGCATCCGTCACCGAAAAGAATCCTGAAACGAAACAATTTCTTCAGTATTTATCGAACCGTTTACCTCATGGTTTATATCGGTGTTTTTCACGCAGAGTCTGCACCGAAGCCATTTCCAAAGAAATTCAGAAACTCCAGTGCAGGTTGAAAGTGATGGTCAACCAGGTCGAAAAGGAAGACGATCCACCTGAAGATCTTCTAACTTTTATTGAAGTGAGTTCCATAGCATGTACTGGTGGATGAACGTATGGAATTTGATATAGGCTCTCCAGGTACACTGGTTCGACTGGTTCCATACAAGCATCGAATTTTTCACAAATCTACTTTTTATAGTAGTACAGAAAGGACGACCTACCCAAACCTATTTCCCTGTGTTTGCCAAAAATCTAGCTAATGCAGTACCTTTTACAGCACTGAGAAATAGCGAAACAGGAGACTCATTATTTTGCTTATAGCCTGCGCGAATGAAAAACACTTTAGAGGGTATCCACCTCCTCATACTCAACGTTTTGGTGTCGTAGCCGAAAAAGGAAAACGTCACCGAGGTTTGGATAAAGGCCACTGATGCGCTAGAAGACATATCATTAGTAAAACAAACAAACACAGGAATGCATGCAGAAGTTAGCTCTTTGCTGAGTTGATCTCGAGATGTGCTAAATGGCCTGTTTCGACGCCTGATCGACCACCTCGGTTTTGAGGTTCCCGGCGCGGAACTTAGAGTCACGCGCAGGTATGACGATCCCAAAGAAAGAAAGAGTTGTGTACGGTACTGTTTATACAAAACTAAGCACAGTTATACAACAAACACTCGTGGCGTCAACAATCGCATAAGACTGTCACTGACCGGAAAAGTGCAGTATGAAGTCCGAACACCAAACAAAGACGAGTGGATGTTGGTAGGGTTGTGTGGATTACGGTCATTCCTTCGGAGACTAGCCTTATGATTTTAACTGGCGGTGGGATCATACGGAAATCAAGACAGATCAAGTCGGAGCGTGCCTGAAGCGCTCGGTACGAACACACATGGTGGTATACCGGTTTCGGACACAGCGTTTTTTCCGACAAGATGGGTAGCTGGTGCGGAGGAGCAAAACATTTGAAGATAAAAATTACACGGGCGGATTTAGCAAACGGATGGGGAAGAGTTGTGATTCGATGCTCTATTCTATGCGGTATGCGAGTTTGTAGAAGGTCATGTTCTCTTGCTTAAGGAGCGGAGGTAAACAATATTTTAAAGCTTAAAGGTTATAGTAATGACTTTTTTCATAAAGGAAACTACTTACAAGGTTGCTGAAGACTCTTCGACAGCCCACGACCGGTTTGGCCCTTCTCGAGGCTCATCAGGTAGGCGCAGTCCCCGAGCTTCCGTCAACCCTATGTTCTACTCGAATCCAAATCGGACTGTTTTCGAGAAACACGCTCAGTTGCAAATCAATTTGGTTCTCACGAGAGACTCAGCTGAATCTCTCGTTTGTGTGCCGCCCTTAGACTGCCTCATGTTTGAGTTGGCACGATATTCCAGATATCGCAGTATATTTTCATGTTCATTTCAAACTGCCCGGCGAGTTGGTCGCGACAAGTTGATTGATATCAACAGTCTGATCTCGCCAGTCAGCGAACTAGAGTCTGGCTGCACGTGTGCACTACGACACATGATTAATAAACTATGATAGTATAGTAGTTTGTGTTCAGTTGCGTTAATTATACGGCTGTAGCTAGAAAAAACCAACCAGATTCTCCCATCTACTGTGACGTGAATGTTCTAGTATTACCAGTTTGCTGTTTTTTAGGCTATCCATTTTCTCCTTTCATTTCTGCCTCAATCAAACAAACTCTTCACAGCTATTCTATATCTCTTATCATTCAAGACGGCCAAAACTGAAATGGACCAGTTGGAGGCCCGGACGGTCCGACTGACAGAGCTGACCAATCAGTGTGCCGATTACTTTTCCGAAGAAAGGTCAAGCTTTAGACTCTCCAGCTGTTTGCAAACATTTTCAACGTTTTTTACCAAAATGGACTCTGCGGGACAGGTATGTACTCGATAATTCCTTGAGACTGAATAGATGTCTTTTCATAGGGTTTTGGAAAAGAAAATGGCATTCTAACGCATCCTTGTCGTAACCAAACGGTTTACTTAGGGTCCGGATTCTTACTGGATTACTGCAATACAAGTAGTGTATGAAGAACAAACACGTAAAATAGTTTTAACTTTGGTCGTTGGTTTGTTCGTTGAGCAGGGCAATTCGATTGCAAATATCTCACCCCCAGTCGAGGGGATATCCTGACCGCGCACTCAACTACGCGTGTAACCGAGCAAAGAACTTTAGGAATAAGCATTCTGTTCTGTCATCATAACCACCCGTATGATCCAAACAACGTTATGTTCGGTCACTTCGCGCAAATCAAAGTATTGGATCCTAGTTTAACGGCAATGCTACTGATGGGGGCATGCGAGTAGTATGTTTCTCGTAAATCCGCTTTGCGTCTCTTGAAAAGTGAAATCCATCACGGAATTCGTGGAGTCGCTCCGTAGCATTTGCTTGCATTTGAGTAACAGTCAATGAGTATTCAGGATAGTTCAGGAAGACGCGTTCAAGGAGAAGATGGATATTCAGTTTTTGTAAACAAGATGCATATGAGAATTTTGCTTCCCTGTCCAATAGTGTGTAAATGTTCAGTTGACATTTTCTAATAAATAACCCTGCAGCGAAGGCATTCTACCTCTCAATAGTATCCCATCCCACTCCTAATAAGCTCTATCTGAATCCATTTTGTTTGGTTCTCTAAGGTATAAAAATTCATTCGCACAGGAATAACACAATAGATTTTGGACTGCCATGACAAATTCAGTTTGGTCGCCTGGCACCACACATGATTGTCAGAAGTGAATTATCAGACTTTCCAAGGGAGTGGTTTGTGAAAGAAGAAACACTTGTCTCAGATAGTAGTTTTCAACTGAACTAGTCTGATATGCGAAGTAGAGGAGTGTGAATTCCCTTTAGTTGAAAACGCCGAGAAGTCCTAATGCACTCAACTAAAATGGCCCAGTCACCGTGAACCCAGTCTGCTGCTTTGTAATATGGGATTTACAAAATCCGGTTTAGTCAAAATTCCCTTTGTTCACTGTGAAAAGTGGTCTGGTTGGGACACGACGGGAAGCCGGAGAACACATTGGAACGAAGCTGTATAGAAAGAGATAAGTTTACTGGTGCCTGACTAGGTATTCATTGGTTTGATCGCCGAGCTCGATATTTAACTTGGAAAAGCTTCGACCGTAGTTGAGGTGACCTCACCAGTGCGTAGTTGGGTGAAGAACTCATCCATGCGTTCTTGGGTTTATATAACTTTCAAAGACTAGTAGCTAATATCCATTTTTGTGACTGTCTAACCAAAGCAAATTTCTCAGAATCCTACTGATCCGTTCCGAATTGTGTTGTGTTGTGGTCTGTATAACCTGCATTTGATTATTGCATTGAGTGGCTTCTTCCTGTTCTGATTGGCCGATTTCCAGTTCATTGTGATCTGCCGGTTTTCCAGTGCAATAAATGCAGACCGCAACACAACACAATTTGGAACTGTTATATCTGCCGATTCGTCAATCTGGCCTATCTGCTGCTAACCCGCTCCAGTGCCTAGTGCCGGAGAAAAAAGACTCACAGAAGGGAACACGACCGCTATATTCCGAACAAGCGAGTGCGAGTGCGAAATATACGACGTTCTCAAGCTATTTATTGGAAGAACACTGTCTGAACTTAGTCCAAAGCTGATGCACACGGTCTGGCTTTGGTACGAGGCTGTGACATGCTGCATATTGCGGGGGCGTTGTCTGACCTTGATCAACGCTGACTCGCGCTGTCTGGGTTTGATACAAGGCTGTGACGCGCTGCATATTGAGGGGGCGTTGTTTGTCTGGTCAACATCTAGCGGAGCTGAGAGTCTCAGTAGATTCTGGGCATTCAGTGGTTGCTTTCAGGAAGCTGACCTTCCTGATAGGAAAGGGCCAATTTAGTTCCACAAATGCTTTGTATTAGCTAGCTCATCAAATAAGTAGTTATTGTCTAATAGCTAAAAACCATGTATACTCAAACAGGTAAGGACACAGTGATGATGTTACCCCGATTTGTGATGAAAAGCTGCCAAGCGAATTGCCAAGGTCAGTGAGCTGATCCACGGTCATCTGATCACCCACCAATGAACGCGCACAAAACACCGGTTCGCTTCCATAGATGAGTCCACTTACGCGGATTTTTGTAGTTGATTCGCACAGCTTTTCTGTCAGTCACAATTCAGACAACCAAACACCGCCCACATGAATCCATTCCTAACGCAATGGATTTTGGGCGGCAACCTATGTGTAAGCGATGTCCAACTTTGGAGGTTGATTGGGAGATTTTACTGTTGTCCAAGTTTATTGGCTCGTAACTGTCACCAGTCAAAGTTGGCTGGCTTGAAAATTTGACCAGGGTGGTTGTTTACTCAATGTAGACCTTGACAGGTCACTTGATACTCCCGAGTTCGGGTGAGAGCACTAAACATGCCAGGGCATGAATCCGTTCTTCTAGAAAAGACTTTTGATTTTCCCACCAAACGTAAATTGTACTCAGCGTGCAACAGTTTTAACTAGGAACATGTTACCAATAAGCACGTTCAGCCATATTTGTACAAGTCTATGTGGTGGAGCTACTACTCCCGGGGATATCACTGATTACCTTCTGCGTCTTTCAGAATTTCTTCCATCTTTTTTGACATTCTCACAATACTGTACCAACTGATTTATATCATCACAAGTCAACAGTGTAGGTATTGACAGGAGCATCGTGAAAATTCGCAAATACTATATGACTAGTTTTCTTCATGTAGTATGAGGTCAACCATCTGGACTAACTTCATTCTCACGTCATAACGGTTGAGCGGAACCAAAATCTGGTCTTACACCCATCTCAGCTATTCCTTAAAATAGGAACCGTGGTTTTCATAAAGGCAACTGCTCACAAAGTTGCTGAAAACTCTTCGACAACCCACGACTGGTTTCGCCCTTCCAGTTCGGGCTCATCAGGTAGGCGCAGTCTCCGAGTTTCCGTCAACCCAAATTGGACTGTTTTCGAGAAATACACTCATTTGCAAATCAATTTGGTTTTCAGGAGAAACCCAACGGAACCTCTCGTGTTTATGATACTCTACAACTGAATGTACTGCACATAGGCCGCCTCATGATTCAGTTGGCACGATATTCCAGATATCGCAGTATATTTTCATAAAGGGAACCACCCACAAGGTTGCTGAAAACTCTTCGACATTCCACGACCGGTTTCACCCTTTTTGGGGCTCATCAGCCCACAATCTGTGATCTTGACACCTACACAGCCTGGGTAAAGGTGGATTCAGTTTTTTGTCATGTACAAGAACTTACCCAAGTTAACCGGGTACCGAGCAAAAACAAGCGTTGTTTTACCCATGTTGATGGAGTTTATTTCGGTGTTGTACAACAGCGTTCAAAACAATCGATTTTTCACAATGAAAACGAATGATAAACAAACATGGTAGTCCGTCGTGTAAATACATAAACCCACAAAGGTTCAACGTTGAATGGATATGAAATAGACACAATCCTCTTGACTATTTTCCACTGGAAAGCCATATAGAGCAACTGCTACATGACCGCTCTGGCTGTTTGCTTTGAGTGGTCCGATCAAGGGTGTCTTTCCACGCGATTGAAAGAACCGTCCTCTAGTTACCATCTAGTCATATCCACCCTTTATCAGTCGTCAAACAAGAAGGTTTACACAGGTAGTTCGAGGGTGTACTGTGCTACATATATATACATATATATATAAACATATATGTGTGTATATAAGCATATAAGGTCTGTAAATAACATATATGTGTGTATATAAGCACATAAGGTCTGTAAATAGATTTGGTTCACTAAAAAGACCACCTAATGATGTTTCTTCATTTTGTTGTCGAAAAATTCATCACAAGAATCCCACCATCGAAGCGATTTTGAAGTGTTATTTCGGTAAAAATTCGCTTTCTCTGGTAACGAATTATCATCACAAACGTAAAACTCTCCCAACTCTCAACTTGTTTATCAGTGACTAGGCTCTCCCCAAAAAATTGAAACGCTGTTGTAATTCTTTTTTGCTTGATCGATCCTGATTTTACTTTCTGTATGATGAAATCAGTCCTGTTGGATGGTGGATAGCGATGGAATGACGATAGTACAAGGGATAGAATGAAATAATTGTTCGCTGGTTCTGGATCGTGAAAGACCGCCTAATACGACGAAAACGGAAAATATCAGGATGCGCTTTCTAAAACCCTGTATTGGAAATCGCATCTGGGTAGCAAATTTCATTTCGGTTACGTCGTTCTTGGATGTAACAGCCCTTTTATTCTCACTCCGTGTGTTACAGATCCGTCATTCTCCACACTTTACTCATTTCGATCCGAAGACACCCACGAGTTTCCTAAATGTCCCTTTCACAACGTTACACTTATGAACTATGAGCAATCCGCCAGCGATAGCTTGATCGATCCTGTCATTGTCCGAGAACATCCTCTGTAACTTTGGCCGACCGCAATTTACCCTTTTTCCGAATTTATTAAGGAACTACGACAAATGGATCTTGAACAAAAGAAAGCGAAGAAGACGGAAGAGGGACTCTGTGAGTTTGATCCAAATTTAGAAATATCTATGATGAAGCGAACAGGTCTGATGCCCGCAAATGACTATCTCTGGGAGTATTCCCCACGAATGTGTCGTTAGTCAAGAAGGTTTAACAGAACTAATTTGTTGCTTTGAAGCACTGTTTCCTTTTCGAAACAGAATCCTGGTAGGATTTCTATCGATCCATGTGGAATCTGGAGCTAAGCTCAGCACATTTTACCTACGCTGGCGTGTTTAGGAATAATTGATTCTTAATAAAGAAGCCAAAAAATTCGCAATCAAAAGGAATTTCTTGCATTAGGGTTTACTAAAGAAATCGGACTGGTCCCGCAGTTGGCCTTCGGCAGCTCGCACACTTGCTGAGTACTACACATACCCATTCGACCGCGTAAATCACGGTAAAAAATTGTCTGACAGGCCACTTAGTTTTTACCAACCTCTTCTCGAAAGTAAACTCCTTCGACTGGGCATTGTCTGTGAGCCCTGTAACAGCTTGGTTGAACTAGTGTGAAAGGGTTCATCAGACTCCGAATTTTTGCGTCACACCCGTGTCCAGGAAAGCTGATTCTCTGTTGGAAGCATGAATGGAACAACCAATCAGATTCGAGTGATACCCTGAAAAAGTGATATCACTGTTATCGATCTGCATAATTAATTTGGTAATTTAATTAGGGGACCCCTGATAAACAAATCAGATTGATGCACCAGTGATTGATGCTTTCATAGCATTCATAGTATTGCCGAAGGACGATGGAGCAAAAATAGAACCAGTGAAAATGTTGATTTTGTAACATTGAGGACGCGCTTGAGTTTCGAACAGTAGTGGGCTCTGTTTCACTGGCATACGTCCCAAATCACACCTTTAACGCAAGACTCAGGGAAACGATTTCTCCAAACACAAAGCAAATGGTAACATATATCTTGAGATAAATATATCCACAGTAACCACCAGACGCCATAAAGAACTCATATTACAGACCTGAGAGTAATCAAGGTGAAATAAAGTCCGTGTACAGTGACAAACGAATAGGACTTCTGTAAGGTGCAATGCAATAGCATAACTTCACTTTGACTGCGCCACCGCTTAAAACATTTCTGAAGTGTTATGGAGTAATACAAACGATAACATGAGGTTTTCAATATGAAATTAACATTATTTATCCAGATTGACTTTAACACACCGGGAAGATTGAGTGCGTTG